TGTGTGTGTGTGTGTACGTGTGTGCGTTGGGGGTGGGACGTGCCACGCTTCCAATTTGGCGTCGTTTGTAACCAGTTATTGCATTCACTGTCTGGCCCAATCTTTCATATTTACACCCGTAATCTATCCTTAATTAAAGCTATACTACTGTGTATTGTGTTTATATTCCAATTGCCATTATGTGTTTACATTCCTTTTCTATGTCACATAAGGGTGTTAACTCCGACAACAGCATTAAAATCTTTGGAAACAAAGACACTGACAACAACAACAACAACAACAACAACAACAACAACAACAACAACAACAACAACAACAACAACAACAACAACAAGAGGAAAAACAACAACAACAACGACAACACAACAACACATCGCCAACAAAAACATCACCAAAAAAAAAACAGCAACAAAAAGGACAAAAACAACAAAAACAACAACAAAGTCAACAACAACAACAACACAAACAACAGCAACAACAACACAAACAACAGCAACAACAACAAAAACACCCCCACGTACACAACACTCACTCCTCTTCCCCTTCCTCCTCCGCCTCTCCCTCCTGACCCTCAGGAAGCTTCTCCACTTCCGGGTCGCCACCGCCCACTTCCTCTTCCGCTTTCCCCTCCGCCGACGTCTGAGAATCTTTCAGAGCCATGGCGTCTTTCTCCAACACTTCCGCTTTATCTCCAACTGTCTGTGGCTTCTTCTGCTTACCCCCGGCTTTCTTCATACTGGTACTTTAAAAAACATTTTTTTGGTAAGTGTTTTACACAGCTGGGAATATGGTCATATGAGCGCGCGGGACACATTGAACATTTTCAGTTGGTAGGAAATTTTGAATTTTCCTGGGTGGCGGCCGAAGTCTACTGTAATCAATTTTGGACCACCAAGGGATGTTTAACGTGCGCAACTTGCAAACGGGACCTCCGAGATTTTTCGCCCTTGTCGGAGAAGGCAAAGTGTAGATTTTTCCTACGATAAGGTCAGGGGTGTGGCTGAAAGACAGCAGTAAGAAGTCAAGGAGCAGCAGCAGAAAAGCTGCAGAAAGAGTAATCAGGCGCCCAGAGGAGGGGGCAAAGGAGGCGAGAGGGTGGGAGCAGAAAGAGGAAACGAAAGCAGACGACAGAACATTGCTAGAGAGCAGGAAAGGAGGTGAAAGAAGACAATTTTAGAGTAGAAAAATTTCCATCGCTACCCGGATTCGAACCCGGGACCAATTGAATGAGAGGCGAACACCTTAATCTCTAGGCCACGAGAGCCCCCCC